TATATATATATATATACACGCACGCACGCACGCACGCATGTATCTTAGTTTGTTGTAGTTTGAAAAAATAAAACATTCTATTTCTATACAAAAATGTCTAATATTTTGTATTGTTATTCTAAAGATGAATATAGTCATGTTTGTTAATGATTTATTTATATTTAGAGTCATTAATTACCTGATGAATAACTTACTTCATTATTAGTTTTCAGCTGGTTTGAAATGTCAGATGAAGTATTATCTGTAGATGTTAAAGCAGCATAATCGTCATCAGACGCAACACTGTCATACAAAGGTTCATCGTCAGACACTTGCGATCCATGCTTACCAAGTTGCTCTTTACGAAGCATAGATACTGCGGGATCTAAAAAAAGTACAGAAGATATAAAAATATAATAAATGATGTATAAAGTAACTCTCATAAAATAATTGCGTTAGTAAATTTGGTATTATTACTTTGAAGTGCATTGTTAGCAAGCATATGTCTCCGACCTGCTTCAATCAGTAAATCTACGATAAGAGTGGTGAATTCCTTCAGCGTGAATCTCGCTAATTTTTGTCTCCCTTGATTTCTAGTAGATGACAATTGTGGATTAACTGGCAGAAATGGAACAGTACATTTCTCCGGGAAAGATGCGGTTGAAAACCAAACTATGCATAAAATATGAAAATCTACTTGTCTGAGCATATTTCATATGTTTCAGTTATTGTTTATATACCTTGTACAACATATTTTTGCTAATATGATAATTAAATTTTTGCTGAGGTTTAAATGTTTACTCACCCTTCCAAAGGAATAGCACGACAAAGAAATGTATCATTAATTATCTAAATTAGTAACAAAACTCTCTATACGCAATTATAGCATATTTAATCAAATTTATAATAATTTATAATAAATAAAAGAAAAGCGATACTCACTGGCTTCTGTTTCCCGGCGATCCACCTCATCGTAAATGTCCATAGCTAACTCCTCTAGCAAATGATTTGGTAACTAAAAAAAAAAAAAAAATTTTTATGAGAACATAGAATAAAAATAAATAATAAAACATATGAATGTCTATATACCGTTTGTAATCTGTTTCTTCCTTCCAGAACTAACTCATTTTTATTCAAAAAAGAAGATAAATCAGAGCTAATGAGATGTTGATCTCTTCGATGATTTGGCTTACGAGAGCATATATGATATGTCAATCTATCTGTTACTTCATACATACATTCAATTATACGTTCAGATAAATCCATATGCCCTGCCATTCTGAAATGGTAGAAAGGATGCAAAGGATTAAAATAAATATTGAAATATTCTCCATAGGTGATAATATTATTTATACTTACTTGGCAATATCAGCAGCTGTTTGTCCATTTAAATCAACTACACTTGGATTTGCACCATTAACTACTAAAAGTTCTACTTGGAGAACTTGTCCGGCACGAGCTGCCACGTGTAAGGGTGTGGTTCCTTTCTCCTATATACAAACATGTATAATTTAATAAAAGCATCTTCTCACAATACAGCAATTATACAATATGTAATACATTGGTGTGTATTACATGAATATATATTATATAAATTATTATTATAAGATATACCTTGTAAAAATAATTGGGGTTAGCTCCCTGTGCCAACAGTCTTAATGAAGTTTCTAAATTACTTGTACGAACGCTACTATGTAACTGTCTATCGAGTTCCTCCTCAGTACAACATTCTTCCTTACTTGGCCGTAATATGAAAGCCAAGTGTTGATGTTTAGCCTTAATAAAATCTGCTTTTACTGGACTATAAGCAATAAATAAAGTAAGAAATAATTATACACATACGAGAAAATACACAAAAATCTTGTCCCTATATTATTCAGAATAAATTTTAATCTACAACATTAACAAATAACTAACAATTTCTATTTAAATTTGATTCATTCCAAAAATCATCAATAAGTATCTGAAAATTATATATTCAGCAATAAAAGTTGTGTATTGTACAAAATGAAATACTAACTGTAAAGGATCCTTGGGCTGTGGTTTTCGTCTATTAATCTTGGAATTGCTGGGATCTAGCAAGGAATGTTCCCAAATACTGTTGGCTCCGTTATCACTCAATGTATGCACCATCTGAATATTTAGTTATTTTAGTTATTTTAAAGTTATTTTAGTTATTTTCAGTTATTTTAAAAATGATAAACATGTGAAAATTTCAATAAGAGAGCATCTCTCTACATAACAATAGTTACTGCATACTAACATTCAATAGATATGCATTCCAAACGCTCTTGTGTAACGACTTGATATGTGACACATGACGCCCTAAACTACGATGAATCCCACAACAATCATCACATAATAAAATAGCTCTATTTATTGATGCCCATCCTGGCTCTGAAATAGCATAATAATAGAGACCGATGATAATTAAATGAGAGCTTTTTTTTTGCAAACTTATAATATATAAAGAAAAATTTAAGTTGATCTTAATTGCATTGATCAGAATTCTGAAAGTAAATTACAAGACATGTGTATTCGCCTCATGTTTATCTAATTATGTTGTAAGAAAAGAATGATGCGATCCCACTGAAGCCATACGTGGCCGAGCAAAGCCGAGTCATTGTAACAAGAATGATTGAAAAGATGATGTTGCACTCACCAAGTGTCCCGCAGTCAGCACACAGGTCTGTACTCGTTCTGTGTTTAGGACGCGCCATACTAGACTTTCGATCGATGGCAATCACTCCTGTACATACATTACAGTGTATTGTGCTCTATCTCGATTGTGCGATTTGAGACGGTGAAGATAGACAGAGACGAAGACAAGAATAACAATTTGAAGTAAAGAGAAATAAAAATGTGAGACAGATCGTTTCATCACGCTTTTAATACCATTTAATACTACATACTAGTCCTACTACCACGGTTGCTTAGAATCCCTAGAAAAACAGAATCTGGCCAGTATAAAGATATACACTATATACATATATAGTAGGGACAAGATCCCGGTTTCCATTCGCCGCGCATATTTCCTTGCGCATCATTAGCGGCCATATTTTTGGTGACACCAATCCCCATCAAAGTAGAGAACCCACAGTTTCTCCATTACTGCAATTGCGCCGCGATATAATCGATCATATCGCTGAGCTTGCTTAGCGACGAAACGTTACCTGAATATGAATATCTACCTCCTGATTACAGCAATTAATTTTATTACCTAATAACTGATTAATTACCTAATAACTGATTACAGCAATTAATTTTATGAAACAACGTGACTGTGCGTGGATGTATCTAACCAATGAAGAATTCTAAAAAGATAAGATTTTTTATCTCCTTTTTTTATGAGTGTAGGCGGTGATTCTTACGCATATATTATTAAATTCATGATTTTTTTATTACATAAATGTTCCATAAATAAATATGCATACTTGTAAAGCTATAATATTCTATATATTACAGAAAAATTACAATTTTTTTTCTGCGATTATCATCTTTTGATAATCAAATTTTGACGATAATACTGAAATCACAATTTTAAAGAAAAATCGAGTATTATTGAGTTATAAATACGTCTACTAATTACGTCTACTAATAAATCATAAAAAATTAGTACGATATCATCAGTTTTAACTCTTAATTACTTTAATATTCACAAAGACGCGAACTCCCGTAAGGATGTCGCTTTTTAATAATATCTCGTCGGTGTTATTATCCTTATACCTTACTGTAGTATACTGACCATGCCCTCAAGATTGCGTTCAAAAATTCAACTCTGTCAACTTGAATGTTATTTTATTCTTGTTGATCACCGAATATTGAATAAAGATAAAAGATACTCGGGAATATGTTCTTAGTGCTTACAATTTAGGGAACAGAGAACAAAGAAAATAAGAATTTCAACCTATCAGAAATTGTGTATATGAATGTCCACAATACATGATTTCTGATAGGTTGAAATTTTTATTCTCTGTTCTCTGTTCCTTTTATTGTGCGGAGCTTCTTACACTTTCATACTTACAGCATAGTATAAGTACATACAGTATGGACACTAAGAATCGGTACCTTTGATGTAGTGAGTTTCAGATCACATGACACGCCGCCATATTGTGGATTGGAAAGGCGCTTATAAAGAATTTTTATAAAGCTGAAGAATGATTTTTTAAAAAAAAAAGGCATAATTGTGTCGTAAAAATTGTTTATCACGAGTTAGTTTTAAATCAGAATTGTATAACAATATAATGTTAACAAACTCATATAAAGATAATATTGACATTAATAATAATAATAATAATATTAAAGTAATAAATAAATTAAAATAATTAAATATTAGGTGTACAACTTTGCTTCCGCCATTTCTTTTCCGAAATTCGAGGCTTTATTGTAAAAAACTGGTTATACATTTATGATTCAAAGTAT